ACTTTGCAACATATGGTATTAAAACTAGTCATGGTTAAGAGTTCTAAACATCTTAAGATCAACTTTGATAAACTCTGATGGTATTTAAAAAGCAATATGTAGAACGTTGTATAGTTATGTCTGTTGATTGAGATGTTTGACTGACCATTCACAGTAGATTCATGACATTGACAGTTTAAAGAGGATTGTAACAGTATTGGCAAGAAATGTTGCCCTTGGGATTAAACTGGTTAATAATACCACGGTTCTGATGGTAAATTAACACTGTGAGCCGAGACAGACCCTGAGGCTATTGGTCTACAGCTGCGTAGTGAAAATAATAAAATTTAAAAAATTGAATGTAAAAATCGATTTTTTTTAAGGATTTTGGTGAGCGAGGTCCATCCTCTCACATGACCAAAGAAGAAAAATAATAAACATCAGCTCTGCCCTATGTTTGAGCACAACCTAAAGGTGCCGACATTCATTTTTTGGAGACTTTTTACCAGTAGGACAAGTAAAAATTATACATAACTTTTACTGGTTTTGACTCTCAAAATTTTGAAAAGCTGCCCATAACCTTAAAATCAATCTTTTGATCAATTTTATTTTTACTCTAACAAATAACTTCCTCCTTCTCATCAAGACTTCTTGCAGACATCACTCTGCATCTGCCATCAAAACAAATATATCAACATTATCTTCTGAATTTATATATATGGAACACAAATGGAGAAAACAATACAAAAAAGCCAATGTGTGTTATCTAATGAACTTCCCAGGCTTTACGTTCTACCAACAGGCAGATGGAGACATGTCCTTCAGTGTTTTTTTTTTTTTTTTTTCAAGCACGTCTGTAGAAGTGCTGCTTGTCTGGATGCTGTTAAAAAAAAAAAATGACAGTGAAGATGGATGTGTCCCGCAGCCGCTCTTTCCTATCAGTCACGAGCACAGACGAGGACAGAGCCCGGGAAACGTGTCAGGGAGCTATCTCTGCTGCCCTCTTCACTCACGGGCACGATTCAAGTTCAAAAGGTTTGGGGTAAGGATAATAGGAGATGGGTGACTGACAGAGACAGGTCAGATTCTGCCTCTGTTGGTTGAAAACACTGTATGGGGCGATGCCTGAAGCTCTCTTCTGGCTTTATAGAGCTCTGAATGCTCAGAGACACTCTTAAAGGTTTCGTAGGTAGTGGCTTATCAACAGTAAAGAAAACGTTCACAGCAGGACACCTTAATCTTGAAGTAGGTCAGCACGTGTCCAACAGGAAACAGGAAAGATTCAGGGTAGAAGGCACTTATTTACATCTATAATAATGAATGACAAAATTTTAGTCTGAGTCAGTTTGGTTTGGAAAAATTGGTCACTTTGTCCAGTTTTAGCTTGAATGGAGGGATATAAAGAGGAGGAAAGAGTAAAGAAAACTCGTCCCTCTCCCTCAGCAGCCAGGGAGGATTTGTTGTACAGGACTAAACAATTGTTCCGATTGTTCTACGCTGCTATGTTTTTGATTGAAGGTTTGGAGTTTTCGAAAGTGGCTGTGGAGGGTAGCACTGTGCATGGATATTAGCAAGAAGGTCAACAGTCAGATTGACTTTTCCTAGATTGAAATGTACGAGATTAGGGAAATTGAAAACACAAGCCTTTCCTTTGTTGTATCTGCTTCCCTGAAGTTTTACAACTTGATTCAACTTGTCTTGTGTAAAGTTGTAGTATGAGTATATGGCAGCGGTAATGCAGCTGTGCACCAGATATAAAAATATATTGTTATATTATGGCAGACTTTTGTTGCAACTGCGTCCCCCTTGGTCAGCTCCAGTCCACTGCAGTCTCTGTTGACTGCTTTTTTGACCTAAAAAGAAGAAGATTTATTTATCCTCTTGTGGTTGCTTTCACAATTGTCTTCTACAATGAAATAATTGATGTTTTATTATTATGGTATTATAATTAATCCAGAGGCAAAATGTACTGAGCCAGGACGATCAAACAGGAGCCTGTCTTTAATAAACCTATTGAGATATGCCAATAAATAAACAGAATAAAGAGATGCAGGAAGAAATGCTAAAATTCAAACATCCATAGGTCTGCACAATAACAAAAGATAACTGCGACTTGGAGAATCAACAGAAGAAAAACATCAGGCACTGACAGAGGATTTGCTTTATTTCCCATGTTTGGCTCAGTCGTACGCTGGCAGCCCAAAGAGCTGTGGTGAAAACTCTTCCATGCTCCTGAGTAGCAGCGTAGCTTCCTGTGTCAGGCTGCGATCCAGGTTGTCGTCAGGAATCATTACCACTTGCATTCCGGCCGCCAGTGCTGCCCTGACTCCATTGGGAGCGTCTTCGAACACCAAACACTGAAGGGCAAAGACGAGAGAAGCAAACATTACCCCGTGAGGCCGTTTCGACCAAATGTTTAAAATCACAGCAGATACTGTGGAGACATGAAACAGAGAAATCTTTTTTCTAATTGGGTGAATTTGACTTTCTCATTATTTTGAAGAAGATTGCCCTGAAGGTTTCAGAACTTAATGTCGGCTTCACTTACTGTATGGGTGCCGCTTCTATTTTACTCATTTTTGGCTTCATTTCATTTATAATCCAGTCTAGTTGTGAGCTACGACGTAAAGGCTCAGTATAAGAAGCTAATTAAAGGTTAATTTCTGCTACTCAATTGATAATTACTTCTTTTTACTGTTCCCATCAGTGGGATTAGCCGAGGGCTCTGTTGTGTGCCGTTGTGTTGCTGCTGTCATTGTTCAACATCCTTTACTTTTGGGTTAACTGACATCACACAAGTCAATTAGGGCTCCTTGAATAGACCTCTTTATTTTAACCTGTGTATTAGAGAAGACCGGAACAATGGACCTCAAGGCTGGTGGTTTTTTAAGCTTTGTGTTTCTTTTGTGAAGCTTCTGGCTTTTTTATAGGCGGAACCTTTATTTGCACTGAAGTACATTTTTTTAGAAGCAGGGTTAAAGCTGTGCTTTTAGCCCAGTAATGAATTCACCAGCCAGCGTTGACAGGGAACCTAAAAAGGTCTTTTTCTAATTTAAGGAAAAGAGCACAAACAATGGCATTTGATCCTAACTGCAGTTCAAATTAACCTTGGCTGAGTTTCTAGTGCAGTTGTCATCGATATTACAACTGCTGTAGTTACTTTTTGCAATATACGTTTTATTTCAGTGAGGAGCACGGACAAAAGTTTTGAAACAACTTATGTTAAAATGTTTTTTTTTCAGATCCACTTATAATCTGTTTGCCTACAGGAGTGTAGAAAACATTTCATTTCACTTTCTGTTTAATCCACTGAGAGCCTCTTCTTCCATACCTTTTCCCTCTCTATCAGCACTGTTCTGAATGTGATTATTGGACAGTAAAAACTGATTAACCTCACTGGTGAAGGTTCAGCCTTATTAATCTCCTGGAGGTGCAGGAACATCCTCGTTCAACGTATGCACAGGAAAAGCTTTCACACTGCAACTTGTGCAACTTTTCTTTTTCTTTTTTCTTTTTACCACCCACAGATATTTTCTCAACACTCAATGACTGAACCTATTCACTGTTCAGTACTAACTCTATTAAAAAGGCTTTCTAGTTATTGGTATAACTGAAGTACGCTAGTATTATCTACTTACTGCAAGTTCACTTATTAAAACAAATACAGTTAATGAATCTGTGTATAATCTTAGCTACAAACGCAAAGTTAAAAGTACAAAGTTAGCTACAAATGCTAAGTGTTGGATTCATAGAGACATCTTTAAGCCTTGGCTACTGTCTTCCCCAGTAACACAAAGTTAACCATTTAATTCAGGGAGACTTTTTGTGGTGTAATAAATGCGGTGGGAGTCTGCTTACCATAATTAGAAAATTCCAGACTGAAAACTAAAGGATAGGATTCGTACACGACTAACATACAGCAACAGGGAAGTATTATTACTCACTCACAATACACAGCTATAATTGATGAGTTTAACATATTAGTGTGATGGGATGTAAAGAACGTAAGAGACTGTAACTTCTGATAAGGCTGAGGTCACATGTCTGTAGCACCTAATGACCAGCTTCAGCTCCAGCTTCAGCTCGAGTAGAAACATTGGTTTAGGTGTTAAGAAAATACTCAAGTTGGAATTAGTAAAACACAGCACCACTCATTTTCTGGCTCAAATGCGGTCTATGTGTTGACTGAAAATTTCCCCCCGAAAATTAGAAAATTAAGTTTGGTATCTTCTGATAAAAATGTGTGTCTGTCCTAACAATGTGGTATTACGTGTTGATAAAAGCCTACAAACATTTCAACATCAAGAGCAACTGGACGAAGTAGGTTTTTTGAAGTGGTTTCACCTCTCATCCAAGAGGCTTCTTCAGTTCTGACCTGGATGACTGACAACCTACATAGACAGATTTACAACATATGTTGTTAGACAGGTACACTGTATGTCACAGCGAGTGATGCATTGTGCACCGTGTCGTTATATAATTGACTGTGTTCAAAGATCACGTGTTTTACTCAGATAAACAGAGACATACGCAGACAACGAAAGAAGAGAAAATAAAATATATGGAGCTTGTTAGAGCTGTGACGCACAGCTGATACATTGTGAGTAACGTTAATAAGCTGATACGCTCCTATCTGTCACAACACACATGCACACATACATCACTGAAAATGCACGTGTGTTAGTGTTAGTTAGTTAGTGTGTGTGTGTGTGTGTGTACACATCATGCTACGTGTTTGTGTCATGGGTGTAGCACTGAGTGAATAAATGACAGTGACAGATTGCTCACTGAATCTTCCAAATGATCCTGAAGCCCGGGGGCATCTTAAGCAAAGGTTGGGAGACATTTCATCATTTATGTTGTGTGGAGCACAAATAAAGACGGTGTTGATGACAGATGGACATTTACAACAGGGGATAACTAGAAATTGTATTTCCCCAAGTTTTAGTAAAACAGTTTGTATAGAAGCCAATGTGAAATGAGGCCACATCTCATGTTCCCAATAAACACAGGGAACATTTCCGTAAGGATCATGATGTTCCTAGTCAGGGGTTGAGAGTTTTCATCAAATTAACCTGATGTTCCTATAACGGCAATCAGACAAAGAAGAAGAAGAAAAAAAAAGAACAGGAGGAAATAGAGAATAGAAATTAGGCTGAAGGTTGAACAGTTGGAACCACTCTTGGAGCTTAGTAAAAAATAATCTGATTATTTCTTTGTACAAATTCTATGTACAAGCACTGGCAAGCTAATAATTTAGCATACCCTGTGGATTTGGTTTGAACTAATGTTGTATTCAATTTATAGCCCCATCCCAATGTTTCAATACAGGAAACCACATGTGGCTGAAGAGCCACAGTCTTCAGACCTGTGCTGTAGGGTTTCTTCTGGAAGAGGTCTTCTCTCAATGAACCAGCCTAGGCTAAGACAGGTAAAATTTGATAAACAAAACAAGTGCAACTACCTGAAGCACAAAATGAAACTTGCTAATTTGCTGTATAAAGCTTTTTTATACAACCATGTCTCCTGCTGTTTTTGTTGCGTTGCTTGTGATTTGAAAAAGAAGGACTCTGCAACATACTTTTAGGATAGGGTTCTGGACATAAGTTGAGCATCATTTTTGCAGGACAGATAGGGTAAATGCAGTGTGTATCAAGTAGATTTTAATGAACTTGGCCATCAGAGCCCATTGAGCAACCCCTTAAAAGTTTGTTTTTACAGTATTTCATTATATATCTCAACAGTCAACCTTGCAGCTCAAAAACAGCTCTAAACCGTGCATGTCTCTTTACCTGAATGATAGATAAAAACTCGGTTAGGAATCTTTTGCCTTATCAAAGCCTCTCTTTGACAACAGTACCATCTGCTCCATGACTAGTCCTAGACACGGGGCACAATTAGGCTATCAGTGGGAGAAAAATGAGGTTGCTAGAAAAAACAATGAACAACTGGAAGCTTACCGGCAGCTTTGAAATTACGTTTTTTGTTCTGTTTCAGTATGTTGGATCAGTTCCCTGATTATTTAGTGTGAATCCTTCTAAGCCCCTGATGGTTTTGCAGGGAGAAAGGCCAATAAAAGCGTGGGGGTTGAAACAAGTCCCGAAATATAGTTGCTGTGTTGGCACGGCATCATTATCTGCACATCCAAAGCTCCAATGGTCAACAGGGAATTTGCAAACTCTATACACACTGTGTGTGAACCTTTCCTCCCTCTCATTCCTCAACGCCAGCTTTCCATAATTTACTCTGCAGTCATAAAGTTAGCAAGAGGCCTGCCTTACAAAATACAGCAGCATCATTCTGATTTTACTGCATCAGTGGTGCTACGGTCTTTTAGCACCAACTTCAGTCATTAAAGGACAACTGTTTTCATCCCCACCAGCTTCAGTTTGTTCTATTTCCCCCCTAAACTCTTGAAGGATTCTAAAAAGGATTGCGTTTGGTTTAAGCACACTGACAGTAAAGAGCATATGTAATCCAATATCTTCAAAAGAAATCCCATCATGTTTGGAGGACAACTCGTCATCACATACATTGACGCAGCAGGACTGTCACTGCTCAAAAAAAAAAAAAAACAAGTTCAAACAAATTTTCTTTGACACCACAAATCTTTGAAGATATTTGGATTTTGCTTAGGTCTTCTATTTTCACAGGAACACCAAATGGTATTTCATTCTTTCTTTTACCAAGATTGCATCAAGCTCGGCTGCACTTAAAGGGCCTTAAGACGTCTGAGAGATTCTTCTCTGGGAAAGGATGCTTTCTGGACTAGAACAGTAATAAACACTGACAAATGCTTTTGTTGAATTTAGGGAAACTACTTGCAATGCAATTTGTGTTTGAATAAATGACACACAATTCAAGGTCTACAGAATAGTCGTAAGACTATTGCATCAGCAACAGTGGCCCACAGCATGCTGGGAAAGAAAAGAACATATTGAATGACAAAATCTGAGCAGCAACTTGCACTAGAGGAAAAAAAGTATGGCAGGGCATTTCAAACTTGAAAAGAATGTAAGGTGACACTTAAGGATGTTTTGCTACACTCAACTCAAAATACAATATGTTTTTTTTTTGTTCACAACACAATTATATCACTATTGTTTTTTTTAAACAAAATGGGCTCCAGACAAATTATGAACAAATACAATCATCAGCCTAATTTGTCTTCGTATTTACTGCACATCATGCAGCTATAGAACAACTATAAAGCATTGACAAGGTATAGACTGGAGTTTGCCAGAGTGAGTTCAGTGATTGCACATTCATGTCACTGAACCATTGCTGCAAAGGATAAAGTTAAATGCAGTCTGAAAGTCAGTTGACGGCTGCCTGGAAGCAGGATGATTGGGCTAGG